AGGAAGATAGCACTGAAAAGTACTTGCAACTGCTCCATCCAGCCCCAGAAAGTTGGTTGATTACAAGGCAAGGTGATATCAAGATGGCTTAGGAATGGTGATGATGTTGATCCTTCAAGCCTATGCCCAATTTGTTTGCTTTGCATTAGTGTAAATGCATGGGAGTGCAAACAAGCTGAGTGTGAGTGTAAATTCTGGCTTACTTTTGCTTCAGATTTGATTTTGTGTCTTGTTCTTAAAAAGTAAGATAGGAAGTAAAATGCAGTAATTCCCACTTTATATGAAAAAGAATGGAGATATGAGAGGGTTATTTGTGACTGTGTGAAAGGAAGTAAGATAATGTGATCCCTATTTCACATGAGTGAATAGAAATAAGAGGAAGGTGGTGCAAATTTTGCATCAATTTTTTGGATACAAAATTTGATCTTCTGATGAGAGCAAATGAGGGGAAAAAAAGGTTTTGTATCATATATAAATGAAAATCAAAACTAGAAATATTGAATGCAAAATTTGTATATGATTCAGATTTTCACTGCAACCATATATGGCCAGGAAAAGTTTGGAACCTACAGATGACAGCTACTTGGTCCCCTTCCTCACAGATGTAACATGGAGCCATTATGGAATAAAGGTCAATATGATACATTAATGCAGGAAAATATAGACCATAAGTTTACATTTTACATAAATTATTAATATGTCCTTTTTATATGTTTATACTTCATACCTTACCTATATTAATTCAAGCTTCGGAATCAGTATAGATACCTAATGAATTAAGTCTGTGGTTGGTACCATTTCTATTTCTAGCCGAAACATTTTGGGCTGATAAATAAAAATCGGTGAGAAATATGAGTTGTCAGTTTGTCACATTACGTATAGGGATTGGTATAAGGCCCTTCTATCCCCTGAATCAGCTCAGGCCCCGAAACACATTCTATAGGAGTGTATTAGGAAGCCTCCAATATGATATATATCGACTGATACGGCCTAATACGTATCGAAATTTTAAACCTTGCATATGAGATTTGCTTCACCTAGAACATTTGACATCTAACGAAAGCAAAGCCACATTAGAATACCGAAAAAAAAGTGCAATTCATAATGTGAAGCAAATGTGTGCAAAACTGAACCTGTAGCACGTCATTTGGATTTGAACTGCCAATGAATGGAAACTAACCTTACTTAGACTCCATTTGTTTGCAAATGCATAGGAGTATAATGGATCGAATGCAAATTCTGACTTGCTTTTCAAGTTTTACTTATACTTTGTTTCATTGTTTGTTGTGTGGAATGAGTAAAATTTGAAGTAAAATGACGTGGTCCCCATTTTTTGTAAAAGAAAATTGAAGCAAGATAAAGGTTATTTGTTTGAAATAAAAAAGAGTAAAACATAAAATAAAATTGTATGGTATCTGGGTTTGGGTAGGGAGCTGCAACCAACAAGCCATTGCAGCTGCACATTGGGAACATCTCCCTTGTTATTCATGGGGAGATGTTCCCAGTGTGCGATTGTCATGGTTAATTGGGACAGTTTTGTGAGCATTTGTTGGTAGCAAATCTGAACTCTGCATTGGTACGACATTTGCATTCGAATATAAACTTTTGAGATGCATAATTTACACAGCCAATAAATGCAAAGAAATTTTTCATCATGTAATGCAAAATTTGTTACAGTTTGGATTTGCACTACAAATAGTGCATAAGAACTGTTTGTTTGCAATGGAAATCTGAAGTAGATACAAGGCTTAAATGATGAGGATGATGATGATACAAAATTTGTACCTAGTTCAGTTTTGCATCCATTCATTTATAACCATGATTTGCACTCCTATCTGATATAAAATTTGTATTCATTGGTAATGCAAATTTTGTATCTCAAAGACTAATATAAAATTTGCACCACTTTCTCTGTATCTCAAATGCAAGGATTAAAATATTGGTATTGGGTATTGTATCAAACCATTGGGATTTGGATATGGATAACAATACACTTTGGAAACACATGAATACGGATGAAAAAAATAGAGATGGTTGGATACACTAGGAAATGGCATATCAATTCAATAAATATATTAACATCATTACATTTAAGGTGTAAATAGCCATAGAAATGTATATTCTAATGGTATATGTGAAGAAATATATTACAATTAATATAAAGGGATGCATAGAAATCATACAATTTTAATGTATCAATCAAGAGCCCTAGATCATATTATATATATTTTTATAAATTAATAAATACACAAAACTATTATTATGTTATTTTCTATTGAAGTTCAAGGCACAAAACTTATGCAACTATTATATGTGAATTATTATAAAACTTATTTTCTATTTTACTATTCTTAATGTTTAGCATTTAATAAAAAATCAACTAAAATCAATTCTCAAATGTATGGTAGACGATGTTTTTATTTTTGTAAACAATAAACATATTATTATAAAATGCAATCAAAATATCAATTAATAACTTATAAAAATATATAATCTTAACTTAAAATATATCAAATATATTAAAATTTCTAAGATGCATAACATATGCAATTTCATAATTTTAATTATTAAAATAATTATTCAATTATTAATATTTTTATCTCTATAAAATTTATAAAATAAAAAAATCATTTTTTGATATAAAAGTAGATTAGTGGATTTGACAAATTCAATTTATATTAGGTCCTAAAGTATTTTATAAACAATATTTTTATTTTTATAAATAATATCATGTTCAAATTTATAAGTTTTAAGTACTAAAATGATTATTCTCTTATTAATATTTTTATTTGTATAAACTTCTTAAGATTAAAAACCAATTTTTAATATAAATATGGATTTAAGAAATTATTCATTCCATTAGCTTACAAAATACTAATTTTGAATATTATTTTTTTAATCTTTGATTGGAATTATTGAACATAAAAACATATGTTATTTGTTTAGGTTACATTAGGACATTAGAGTTGATAAAAATTATTTTATTTCATTTATTATTATAAAATGATTGTTGGTTTAGTGGTTCAAGGTTTGTCTAAGATTTGGGCATTGGGTTATTTAGGTGTGTCTTAACTGATACAACACGATACGAGCCAATACATCCACACAGGTAAATACCATTACCACCCCAATACGCACAATTCAAAGGATATGGGCCTAGTTGTAACATTTCCCATATCCCCCTAACCGATACCAATACAATAAACTCTGGATGTATTGCATCAATATTTAAATCCTTGCCCAACCCAAATCCCATGCCTGAAATAGTGTAAAATCAAGCCTGAATCCCCCCCGCCCAGCCCATAAATTGGCCTATTTGGAACCACATGGGTCCTGCCTCACTCCCAAACAAATAACCCTCCATTATGGTGACTCCATTTTATTTCCCAATGAGACAAAGTAAAATCCAAATGAAAGGTAAATCAATATTTACACTCAGCCTTTTAGAATTCCCATGCATTTAGACCAGTGTAAACAAACATAGCCAAAGGTAAACCACCTTTACCCACAAGGACTTAAATTATCAACAAAACAATGACCAATACAGCCTAAAGCATTTATTAAGCATTAGAGTAATCCAACTAATCCACCTCGACTTACAATTTTGATCACGGCTTTGCTTGTGATAGGATGAGCCGGATCTGCTCCTCACTGGGGAGATATTCCTAATACAGGGTGAGATGTGACTGTGAAGTCGATGTGAGACGCTCGGTGAGGAGCAGATCCCAATTCTGTTAGGTGAGCCAAGTATGGCCGGGGCCGTTTGGCTATTGGCCCTTTGTCCCCAACCAGATGTAAATTACTAAAATCCCAATTCCCAAGTCCTCTGAGATTTCTTAAATCCAAACATGTCCAGCAAACCCACTCAAAAAGGGCAACAACTTACCTTTCTTTATCTATGGTCAAATAGATAAGGGCAATAAAGTGCTTGACAAAATGCCTCAATCATAAACAAGTGCCACGTGCTTGAGTCTTGGTTAGAATTTAGAAATTGGCTCTCGTTATCTGTCATATATGTTTATCCCCACCCAAGTGCGTAGCATGTGCCTCACCCAGTCACCCTCTCCCCCACTACACTACCCAAGGTAGATGATTATGCAAATTGAAAAACCAGCATTTTATTACTAATTTCTTCATCTAATCACCATTGAATTGTCTATTCTTTATTCATTTTTCCCTGATTTTCTCAACAAAATCAACTAGAAATTCTGATACTAGGTTTATTTTCCTTTGTTTTTTTCCAAGTCCTAACCAAAACAAATCTGTAATGGGCATTTCAAAGAAACCCCAAATATTGATAGGTTACTTTTTTGCTGGGGATAAGTAACCTAATCAGCAGGAAACACAGCTGTAAAAGCTCTATGAGCTACATGCAGGAGGGGTATCAAGTATCAAGCCCAGACTTCCCTGCTCATTGCCAAGGAATGAATGAGCCAAGGCATCTTTTTCAGACACTTGCCATTTCTTTGACATCTAAAAGTACCATTCTTATTCCCATGTGATGGTCTTCAGATTCTCTTGCATCATAGTGATAACAGAATGACAATCCCTGGCTGGCAGAACGGAACCACATCATAGGAGAGGAAAGAAACAAGTCCAAAAGGTTTGAACTTTTAACCATTCCAACTTCCAAGAAGAAATCCAAGAGAGAGAGATAGTAGAATTGGGGAAATGTTTGTTGACGTATCAATGAGGGATGATAGCCAACTGCCCATCTTCCCCAATTCAATGTTGCAGGGGACTCTTTCGGGAAAAGTGCATTCAACAACACCGATACACACCACACCATCCCTGCCATTATTTCTCATTTTTGCAGGGGAACTTTTTGCTCATGCTTTAGGGTTTCTCGTGAAACATCTCACAAACCCGGCTAAGCCTCGTTTCCATCATCACTGCCAATGAAAAAGAAATACGAGTTCTCAGTTGCAATTATCTCTGAATCAACTTTCACAGGTTTCACAAGCGAAGTGAGACCCCAGTGGTACATGGCCATATGAATGTGAAACACGAATGAATGTTTACATTAGCAACAGAGAATAATTTCAATTCTAACACGAGTATTTGCAAGAGAGTGAGTTTTACATGGTCAAACTAATGTCAAACCTAACTTCACATCAACAATGCAAGTATACCTACTGCTGGAAGAATGATACAATGAACCAAGAAAGCTCACTAACCTCATCAAGTCAGTAAATTATTGACAACCCACCAATAAGAAATGCAACCCATTTGCAATCTCCTACTGAAATTTGCAGATTTAAGGAAACCAATCAAAGTTGCTCTGCTGCAAATTCACACCAACAATGTAATATAGATTTGGAGGGTCAAGGGGTTAGACCAATTCCACTGGATTTAGAAGCTTCATAGGCCATAGCCAGTCATTATCAAATTCAAATGAGGAAAAAGCATCACTTCTTTAGCTAGTATTCTGGGCAAAATGCATTGCTTCTTTAGCTAGGATTTTAACTTAGCCTCCACCATGCCAGACATCGTTTTCAATCAACACCGATTGTCCTAGTTTCTGCAACTACCCATCACAGTCCAATAACTCCATGCCAACAACTCTTCAACCAAATTTGATGTCGACGATGACCGGGGACCTATTGCTTCTGTTTGTGCGCTAATCAATAGAAGGCGATCAGGGATTTTTCTTTTAAAACCAACATTTGTAGCATCTCAACTTCACCACAGCCACAAGTAATCAGCAATTGAAAAATGAATAATTAAATAATACTAAGAAACACTTTCCTTTTGCTTTCCTAAAATATAAATGCAAACACTACTAGCAGTCAAAATTTTCCTAAAACTAGATTATGATTACCAAAATCTAAACATCTGTAATCTATTCATCTGCTACAACAACCCTGATTCTATGCTATGGAAAACACACAAGTCAAAGGTAGTGGGTGCTACCCTTTGTCCATGGACTTCAGCAGCAGCTCCTTCTGCTTTTGCCTTCTCATCTCTAAAATTTTCCGGTGAGAGTTGGAGTGCAATTCACTTGAGAAAGTTGGACTACAGGCCGGCCGATACTCCGGCACCAACCGGCCTGACTTGTACCTCACCCCACAAGCATTGCACAGTGTCTTTGGCCCCAGTGGCCCCGCTCGCCACTGGGGCGTCTTCTCTGCTAAGCAATGTAGACACCTCCTCCCCATTGATGCGGTCGTCTTCGTCACCTTCGCGGCTCCTCCTCCGCCAATGCTCTTGTTCTTGGGTTCCCACCACCACCACCATTGCTGGCCGGAAATATCCGAAAACCCACTTCGCCTCCGTCTTCTTCTCTTGCTTCTCGCTCGAACCGGAACCTGGAGGTTCCCGCAACAGCTCATAATGGAACTGCTACTGTTAATGGCGCTGTTACTGCTGTTCTCGAGCACCGATACAGGGCTCTGCTGCTTTGGGCCTTTACTCAGCTTCCCCAGTAAGAAGTCGTCGAACGCCTCCACTGCAGGAAATGCGTCCTCGTTCGATAACCATTCCAGGTCTTCTTCTAGGAGTTCCTGAATAGGGGGAACCAACAACATACACGAATCAATAACTCGTACTGTACTTATACTGAGTCAAACGATTCAACTGAGTAACCCCAACGAGTCATTAATTTCCGTTTATCTATCAATTGAGAACCTTTCATTTTGGGTTTTTTTTTTCTTTCCTTTCGGATTTCTGAACGCATAAGGAGCCATATTCGGTACTGTATTCACTCGGCATAAATGAGGGGTTGGATTGCAGGATCGGGGAAATGAAATCATACTGACCCGCCCGGGTTTCAAAATGCAACACTGCTCAGACGATCCCGACCGAGTCAGAAAACCTTCCTTCAGTGGGTAAGCAAGGAACTTTGAAACCCAACCGAGTCATCTTGTGGGTAGGCTTCTCTGAGCTTGAAAGCCTCCTAAAATGGCTTCAACCTTGGAGGGCACGAGTCTAATCACGACTCGGCCTAAAGAGCAGGAGGAGAAGCCTGAGAAGGGGTAAAAGGCTTAAAGGAGGCTTCAGACCAAAATGAGAAAAAGAATGAACAGAGAACGAGACAGAGAGAGAGAGAGAGAGAGATACTTACGGGGAAGGAATGATGGTGTTCGTCTGGGTCGATAATGGTCAAGCCAGTTGGTTCTTGTTGTTGGTGGTGGGTATTACTATTATTTGAGGGTTTGGAGTCCAGAGTGGGCAGAGGCAAAGGCAAAGAAGAAGGTAAGGCTTTGTTGCTGTTTTTGTGGTCATCTTCCTCGTCATCTTCGCCGATGTCGGATGAGAAGTCGAGAAGGTCGTCCACGAAGCACGCCGCTGACTCAAGGGACTCCATTAATGGCGAAAAGCCAGGAGGAGATAGAGGGTTCAGACCTCAGAAGAACCAGATGAAGAGAGAGAGAGAGAGAGAGAGAGAGAGAGAGAGAGATGATGGGGGTTTGGCTTCTCTCCTTTTCTTCTTCTTCTTTTGGCCATGTTATCAATAACTTTTTTTTACGCGAGGGTTTTCTGGGTGGAAACGAACGAACGAGGGGACGTCGATTTTTGTGCCCATTTTACCAAATTGCCCTCCCATTTCACCCTTATTCATCAACTTTACCCCTTTTCATTTTTTCCTTTCTTTTTTTCGAAATAAATTATTACCCCCTGTACACCTATGCACAACTCCCCATCTGTATCAATAAAATCATGGGCTATGAACCGTCTGATCAAAACCAGTGACGTATGATTGGCCCATGTGATCTAACAGTCAGTTTAGTAAATTACACTTTCTCAAAATGAGTGATCATGTGGTCCCGAATCCAGATCAGCTGGTGCCTGGTGATGGGGAAAACCGCGTCCAGAGGAGGTGGACCCCAACTGATTCAGCTAAGCTGGACCATGATACTGAGGAGTGAGGAGTGAAGAGTGAAGAGAAGCATAAAACAAAGGGAATATGATGGCATCAGGGATGGAGGGAGATTTATTATAACGAGTTTGGGAACAAGGTTAGAAGAATACAAATGAGTTGAATGCATGATGTCTAAGAGCCAAGCTGTCAGATGCCTTGTCAACATTTGTGCTGCAGGAGCCAGATGCATGCTAATGCACGAATGGGTTATGTTTTATTAGAGAACAAAGGACCCAATTGCTTATGCTGCGTTTGATTGGAATGCACACTACATATTTACCTATTTTTTGGATCATGAATGCAAATAGGGTTCATATTTTAAATTATTTTTGCATTTATCGTGCTTGTTTGAAATGGGTGCAAAAGTGTGGGCCCATCATTAAATGCTCCAACTATCTTATGCTCCAATGTCTCAACTTTGGTCAAAAAGTTAATTATCGAATGAATATAAATTTGTATCAAAAAATAGGTAAGTAATGTTCTCTTTTTAGAGTACAAAAGTGTGAGAACGCAATTTTACTTTGATAATCATTACTTTTTTATGTTTCAAACAAACATTCTCAAACGCGAATTGGGGTGCATAAATACCCTGGTTCGACGTTTGTATCGCAAACAAACGCAACCTTATTTGCATTACTTTGAGGTGCAATTTTGTCCCTCACTTTTTTTTTACAATGAAATTCAATTTTAGGGTTCATTGCTTGGTGCTATGGTTAGGTAATCGATTATGTTTCACCCAGTCTTTTGTCAAAATCCATTGATTTAGTCAATGACCCACTGACCAGAGTGATCAAACCATCAACCTGTTCGACTCGAGCAATGGTTTTTTACTACTTTTATTTTTATTAGTTTTTTATTTTTTTAAATTGTAATTAGTTGTCCATTCGAACCGAATGGTTAACTGTTGACCCAAAAACCGGTGGTCAAAACAGCTTTGGTTCTAAATCACTTTTTAAAACATTACATTAAGGTTGCATTTGGATGCGGTGTAAAAGCCAATTTGATGTACTTTTACACTCCGGTCCAGTTTTGCGGCTGTTTGGATGGAGTGTAAAAGCAATATCAGTGTAAAACCTCACCTTCAAACACCTTTTACCTCAACAATCGATGTATATTATGTGTCGATTTTTTTGATGTAAAACTCAACCGAAAGGCTTCTCGATGTAAAATAGTAAAAGCAACGGCTCTTTCTCATGGCATCGTCGAATTTCCTTGTGTTCATCGTCGTTTTGTTCACCAATACCATTCACCACCATTGTTTCCACTCCCTCTCTCTTCCCCTCCCTATCTTCTTCTTCTTCTCATCGTCGTCGTTATTGTACACTTTAACAGTTAACACAAGGAAAATCTTGAGATGTAGTCCAATCCTCCAAACCGGAAAACAGACTTCCACAACTCTGCCACTAGAAAAAGGCAAATGGCAAATTTGTAGGATCCATCATTGGAAAATCCAATCGTCTATCCTCCGATGACCATTGTGTTAGCTGACATCAAGAACTAGGAGACGCCAATGTTCGGGGTGTCGTCCATCATCCGACGATGGAGGAGAGAGAACTTATTGAAGAAGGGCTCCACCATCCTTAGGACTTTGGGTCTGCTCTTCTGATCATTTGTCATTCTTGCTTTTCTAATTGTTTCTCCAGTGGTTGCTTTGCCTCTACACCAATTCGCGGTGGATCATTGATGAAGATGGGCAACAAGTGAAGTTGGCGTGTGATGTTAGATAGTGTATGCCCTTAGCTCCAATCGGCATGATGTACATTATGATATTTTATTGTAAATAAATAAAGTACATATTTGATTCATGTTATTGTGGAATGTTGGGACAGCCTGAGAATTCATCTAAGTGTATGCCCTTAGCTCCAATCAGCATGATGTACATTATGACATTTATTGTAAATAAATAAAGTATATATTTGATTCATGTTATTGTGGTATGTTGGGACAGTTTGAGAATTCATCTAAGTGTATGCCCTAAAATCGATTATGATACTGCACTAGGTGTCAGATTGGACTGTATTTGATGTGCCAATCAATGAGATCCTTAGAGGGGGTCAAAACTTGGGTATGTTGGGACAGTTTGAGAATTCATTTGAGTGGGTGATCATAGTGACAGGATCAGCCCCTTTGTCGGACAAAGTGAATGATCGGGGAAATGCACTCTCTCTAATGGAAACCTAAACTGCCAGTAGTGGATTTCAAATGTGTTTGAAATTTGGCTTTGCAGAATATATTTATATAGAGATATACTTATATATTATGGTTTCACAAATTGTTTGCAAAATGTTTTAATTCCCAGGATCCATGTGAGTAGATAGTGCAACATTGTACCTTGCAGCTGAGGGAGATGTCCTCTCTTGCCGGGCAGTGTTTGATCATTAAGGGCTGAGAGGTTAAGTGTAAGACCATTGAGGGTTATACCTAATGGGTTAATCTTGCATCTGCCCACAGTCCTTGGGCCTTCATAAGATGGCTAGACCCAGGGACCATTTAGTGTAAATGTTGGGCATATTAAGAGACCATAGTGATGAACTCAGGGGTTCACTGTATTCAGCAGTGAATTCGGTCAGACCTTGTAACAGAGGCTAGGCTGAACCCATGTGGCTGATGTATAGATTAATGATAGGGTCCCACGCCATTTAAAGAGAGTCAAGCTAGCCAACATTAAAAGGAAGTGAGCCTGAAAGCTTAATGGGCCTAAAGCCCATTTCGAACTGGGTTAATTAAAAAGGAGTGAATCTGGGTTTGGATCAACAAATAAGGACAAGTGGATAACTTGGAGAATCCAGATCCAAATAGAGATTTGGATCAGGGAACTCCTAATTTGATTAGGAAAAATAGATCTTGAACTGCAAATAAGATAAAGGATTATTCTTATTACTTTAAGAGTTCAAATCCAAATAAAGATTTGGATCAAGAAACTCCTAATCAAATTAAGAGATCATCTCTTTAAGGTTATAAATAGAGAGCATGGTGGATCTGAAAAAGACACACAAACAACATAGAAGACAACTCAGTTTGACTGTTTCTGCCTTCAATTCTTTTTCTCCCTACTCTTGCCGCCCTACCCTATTCGATCTCCAATTCTTGGAACTGATCAAGATTTGATCTTGATATTGTTTCTTGCTAGAAGAAACAATTCTGAAGCTGTGCTCACTACCCCATTCGATTCTTGCTGAAGAATCAAAGGTTCTTGTTGAAGAACTACCTGTTGATCATGCCTCATCCTAAGCTGTATCATCTTCAGTGGAGGGAGGATTTGGTACACTCTTTGGGCGTGAACACCTGCGTTGGGAGGAGCTTCTCGCGTGGATTCTTTATCAGGTATATCCCTCCCTAATCTTGGTTTCAGATTTAGTCCGGTTTGGTTAGAAGAGCGAACCTTGAAAATGCAGTTTTCTAAATTGGGAATAGGATTCTCAGATGGGGGTAAAGAAATTTTTGAAATTTTGCCCAACCTTCCTATAGGGTTCGGCCATCCATATGATAGATCTCCCATCTCTTCACATCCGACGATGGAGGAGAGAGAATTTACTGAAGAAGGGCTTTGCCATCCTCAGGACTTTGGGTCTGCTCTTCTAATCGTTTGTCATTCTTGCTTTTCTGATCGTTTTTTCCGATGGTTGCTCTGCCTCTACACCAATTTGTGGTGGATTGTTGATGAAGATGGGCAACGAGTGAAGCTGGCGTGTGTGAATTGGGCAGCGCACCTCGAAGCCATGGTGGCAGAGGGCCGCAAACAACCTTTGGATGTGATATCCAAGAGGATTGTATCAATGGGATTCAATTGTGTGAGGCCACCAACGGCTCTTTAGCTTCAGTAATTGGAGAATTATTTGATTGGCTCATAATTTACATTGATCTTCCAAACAAACATTAGTGTAAAATTTTTACATGACCAGTTTATTTTTGCACTTACCTAGTGGGCTGTTTTCCAAATACATCGGTGTACTTTTATATTTATACTAGATCCAAACGTAGCGTAAGGGACCTGATAACATTTGAAACCGAAAAGTTTACTAGCTTGTCTTTTAATGAATAAGATTTTAATAGAAATTGGTTGTTTTTATAAAGTCATTCAGTTAAGCAACTTCAAAACCCTATATAGGTTGAACACCAACATTGGATAATGACATTTAATTGAAGTTTTACCATCCCTCCCTTCTCATAAAAATTTGGGTTCAATAAAGAAAAGAGACATGAGATTCAGCTCATCTACCCAAATGAAGGCGACAATGGCAGCAATGAAATTGATTAGCAAGTCAGCATAGCTCCATCCAAATTAAGGGTACATTTGGTTTGCAGTTAAAATTAGAATTGGTTTTTTTTTAAATCAGAATCAGAATGATTCATTCTCATAATCTATTTGGTTCAGATAGAAATGAAAATGGGAATTAGAATTAACAGGAATGGGATTTCATTCGTAAGGAAAAAAACAGGAAATGGCCATTCTCTTAAATGGGGAATGCCATTTCAGCAGGAATAGAAATAGGATTCTAATTCCCAGAAGAGCCTATTCCAATTTTAATTCCAAACCCCTATTCCTGTGAACCAAACAAGGCCTTAATTATGATGAATT